CTTTAAAGAACAGACGAATCGTCGGCGATTTGAATAACTTCGCACTGGAGAATGAATCCAAAATGAATTCATCATATATCAAACCACACTTCTATGATCTACGACTAATCGTTGCTCTTGAGGAAATGAGAGGAACGATTACAGAGATGAGATGAAACTAGGATTGAAGCCAAACTGTGTGGGTGAAGAGAATCTGATTCAACCACAAGAAAACTGTTTGCTTAGCTGTTTATAATTATTGTCAAATAGTCGTCGAATGGCTAGTTACTTTGTTGGTTGTTGTCTTAAATGTATAGTGCACATGCTGCTATACGCTTGGTATAAGTATGACAAAGTATAGGTGGATGGATATACTAGTGGATATTTTTATATTATATGTGTTATTCATTCAATTATTCGCTTATTTATTCACGGCATTCATTTGTTTGTTTGTATATTCATAAATATGTATGTTTACAAAATCGTCTATACGATCACTTAAACGCCAACCAACCAGACAGATCAGATCCGTTTTGCTCATTTTCATTCGCTCACTCATCTGCCTATATCTAGCCACCTACCAGCCAGTTGGTTACCTTCATCGATGCAAAAATCTCCATTGTTATCCTCATCAAAATCAATCATCGATGTACGTTTATTCATTAGCGTATATCTGTCCAGCTAAGAAAATATTAATGGATATAGACACCAACTAGATGTGATCGAATATTTGTGTTTCAGTGAATGAATGTGAAAATAGTTCGAATGAACGACTGACTGCAGTTATTGTGTTTGGTGATGAGTTATAAGTTGAGTTATTTGCAAAGTGTGGTACTTATAATACAAACATTGCTTATTGACTTGTTAGTTACTCACTCGACGATGTTGTTGCTTACTTTCGAATAGATCATTGATTTTATGATTTCTTGCTGCTTTCAAGTGATTACTTCAAAATTTCAAGTTTGCATGCATTGAATTATGAATGTATTCATCGCGTTCTAAAGAATAAGAAACTATATGAGAAATTCGTCATCGCGTATGTGTTCGTCATCATATTCGAGTTCGATTCACTGAAGAGTTACTCAATTGATTCGTAACTCAGGTATTTACTTGGTGTAATCGTTGTTGTTATTCGATGAACTTGTTTCAGTATTGCTTATCGTCTCTTATTTTCATTGTTTCATACTGTCAGTGCGCGCAATCGTGCGCACACATCATGTTGATGCTCTTCAACTCGACCAAACGTTCCTTCATCGAACCGCCATTCGATTTACCCGTCAGCTTTGCAAATTTATTGAAAGGACGACGAAGTTTTCACAGAGGGCATCAGCGTTCAGTTTGCTCGCCCACATTCTTGGTTGCAGTGTTTGTCGTGATTCTGAATGCAACGATCGTTCCGGTTGTGCAAGCGCAATGCCCTCCGCTGCAAGCACCCTGTCGGTGTGCACCATCCATTTATGAGCCTGTCTCGATCATTTGTGAAAATGCTGCGAGTCTTTCGGATATTATTCAAGCGATCTCACAAGCACGAAATACACCCGTTCGTCAATTTACACTTTTCATTGCATTCCTTTTGACCAGTCACTTGATCAGTATACAAATTTGATTTGGCAAAACATAACGAAGCTTGACTTGTTGACTTGTTCATAAGGGGTGCTTGATGGAATTCCTTTCAAATGGAATGCATTGAAGACACTGAATTCATGAGTTGAAAATTTTCTGACAATGAATAAATTATGTGGGAACTCAGATTTGAGGAAATCGCTTTTTGCGATTATGTAATATTCATAACTACCTTTTAAATATTGCTTGATATCCGTTCCAACTCAGTCAATACGAATTTGATAATGCTCATTATCAGTTAATCGAAACACAAACTCTGCAAAGATCCATTGATGAATTAGCAGTAAATGCTTCAAGTTGGACAAATCATCAATATCAATCCAAAATTTCATGTACTCCTCTGCAACCAATCGAAATTTCAGATCGATTCATTGCTTATTCTCGATTCACCTGTGACAACGTTGCCATCGAACACATTCGTCGACTTCACAATACTTCGTTTAGTGATTAATGGTTGCAATTTGGGCATCATCGAAGATGGTGCCTTCAATGGCCCGTTGATCGACTCGTTGGTCGAGTTGGACTTGACCGATAATCAGCTGGGTATTGTACCGCAGACTGGTTTACCACGATTGAGGAATTTGCGTAAACTCTATCTGAATCGAAATCGAATCAGCGCACTGCAGTCTGACAGTTTCGCGCTGTATGAGAGCCGTGATATCCTGTTGAAGTTAGAGTTGGCCGGAAATCGTTTGACAAACGATGCGCTTGGTAATCAACAAGCGTTCAGGCCACTCAGATCGCTGCAGCAACTGAGTCTGGAGACAAACGCTCTGACTGCTATACCGAGTGCGGCGTTTGTCAATCAACGGCAAACGCTCACCAATCTCAATCTTGGCCTAAACCAAATCAACCAAGTCCCAGTCGGGGCGTTGGATTTCCCGAATTTGTCGTCACTTTCACTCGAATTCAATGGTATCTCCGAAATCATACCACCAGCCTTTCAAGGCGTACCAATATTGCAATATTTATATTTGACTGGGAATAACTTCCCGTCATGGCAGCCAGAAATGTTCCGCTATATTGGTCAGTTGAGGACGCTTGGCATTGGTGAAACACCGATTTCGGTGATACCTGCAAACGCATTTCAGGTCGTGTTCATATTACTCTTCACTATTTCAATGCCTTTTCCCACCAATTAACATCATAGTGATCTCATTCTATCATGAGATTGCATTGTTGTGTGTATAAAATCAAATTACATAAACCTAGCATAAGCCTTTGTGATCTCAACTGAAAGAGTTCATATACTTTTTTTGAAAGCTTTTCTCAAGCTTCATAAATTTTCAACTATTCTCTTAGTCATATTCATGAAGTCATGAAACAAATGAGCAATTTCTTTGACATTCCATCGTTCCAAAACTAGTTCTGAACGTGATCTTCTCCTCTAGGTAATCTCTGAATATGATCTCTTGGAATAGGAATCTCCATCACCCTCTTGGAAGCTTGCAAAGACTAAGTTTTACTCAAAATTTCGCACAACTTCCCTCAAAGTATCACTTCATTCGATATTGGAACAATCCAATATAAAACATCAAATAGTTTAGCCAGCTATCTTGGCCAGCCCTCAATCATAAGGTAAAGAAAAACTTACTTATATTTATGCTTCAAATTAACAGATCCATCCGTTTTTTGATATTAGCACTCCGTCTTTTATCGATGCCTCATGATATCATTCTGCGAGAAGAGAACTAAAACTAACCAATCATAAAATTATGCCCTCACGATGCGTATCAATGAAATTAATTCGTAATTCATTTATTCAATTGTATCGTTGACGATGCATAATCTTCTTCTGTGTGTATGTTTTGCAAGCGAGCAAGTTCGTATGCTATATGATTTTGGAAGAATGTCTTGAGTAAATGAACGAAGACAACTTGAGTCTAGTTATTCAGTTAGCAGTGGCGTGGCATCTTCAGTGGATAATGATGAGTCGTTATAACACTTATTGTACTTCTTCTTAGTTTTTAACGTTGCCTACTTATCATTGAATCTTATAGCTCATCATCGACATTCACAAAAGCATAAGAAAGCACACCTCCAGCAGGAGAGCGCTCATACTTTACAATTCTATTGTGAACGTTGTTGATTTTTATCACGTTTTCATGAACTCAAAACCAAAGTAATAAAATAAAATCAGAAATGTTCAGTTATGAATTCGCATGGTCGATGAAAAGATTCACAAGTTTTGTTTCGTACTGCTCTGAATCACAGATCAATGTGTAAGCTCACGAAAATAGTCGAATCCCCAACCGACAATGTATTTTGCGATTTCTTTCAGCAATCTCGTACTGCTGAAACTCATCAGTTATGAATTTTGGACATTCTTGATCAATTTATTTTTGCAGAATTACCAAATATTCGAGTAAATTTAGAAGCAGTATGATTTTTTGATTTCATGAAATGTCGTCCTCAAGCCGTTAATTAAAATTTTAAATATAAACGGATTGAACTTCAGCAGTTTTTTGTAAACAAATCCATATTGAACAGCATGTTTTCTTTTTGCCTACTCTCAATGTTCTCCACTCACTCCGATCAAATCATTTTCTGAAAAGCTACAAAGTTTCCTTAACTTTTGTATCCAACTTTCCTCCGATTAAAACGTTTGTATACAAATTTTCAACATGCAATTGTTAGCGAGAGATACTCGAAACAGATGGACAGGAAAATGCCTCTTAAATGACATCTCATCGAACTAAACGGCTTCATCTCAAAGAAATCAGAAGAGATCAGTTGAGCATTAAGGGTGAATGAAGAGGTCATTCAGATTGCTCTGTCAAAGCAAATAAAAAAGAGCGCACGCAAAAAGGATTTCGATGGTCAACATCCGATTTCGTATCAAATGACGACTTGTTTATCTTGTTTATCCACCTGAATACATAAGAATAAGTAATGAGAGTTGAGATCGCAACGAATTGTAAATATGTTTCTATATGAATGAGTTGCGTCATCATTTCCATCATCAATCACGTATTATTGCATAAAAGTTTTTCAAAAGTACATTGCTGCCAATGAAACTCTAATCTATATTACCCAATATGTAAGTGCACATTACCTGCCCATGAAACTGTAAATGTAATTTACGTATAAAACATGGATCAGCTATGCATATTAACTGAAAATATCTATCGGCTAACTTAAGTTTCGTGAATTTAACTGATGGTCAGTCATACAATGAGAATTTCCACAAAACAAATTATCGAAACCAATCGAATGTGTGCAATTTGTACAAATGTATAATTCTTTTTCGATGTTCCTAAACTGACATTCCTAACAGATATTCTGATCTCATTTCTGTTATCCATTTTTCATGTTGCTCAGAATTCTCATCAAACATTTCTATATCGTATTATTTATGAACATCTCTGATTATGAGTATAAAATCTTTTTTTAAACTCATTCATTTTTTAATATAAACATTTACTGTTTGTCATTGAATTCAAGAGAATATTTATTTTAGTATATTCCACATTTGGTTCGTTTGGAAATGTCCGAGGCAGCTGTTGATACCATTGAACGTGGTGCTTTCCAACGGACACCGCACATTCAGGCGATAATCCTCAATAAAAATCGTTTATCACTGTGAGTTTCATCTTTATTTTTTGCGTCTTCGAATATCTAGTCCTTAAACAATTTCAAAAAGTTGCATTCCCTTTGATCAAATCTCTCAAATGTTGATCATTTTACACCCACTCATTCATCTAAACCTCACTTTGCATGTCACTTCTGAACCTAAAACTAATCGTGAGGCTGACGTTGGCCCAGACCCACTCCACAACCCTGTGCTTTCATATCCTCTATCTGTGACGAAATCACGGTTTGCTCTGAAACTACAATATCTTACGAAATGGTTTTTTATTGAAGTGCCTTTATGCAAAACAAAGGATAGCATTTTCGTAATATGAGTCACAACTTGGTATTGTCCACATCCATTCGCAGTCGAAATTACGAAATCAAGTCTTCTAGTTACTTTCTTATCATAAACAACTAGTTGATGGTGGTGAGGCATACTCATGCAAATGGTGCATCTCATATGTTTACAATTCCCATTTCTTGATCAAATGCTACTGGAAACGACAACAGATCTTCAGAACACATTTCAAAATGCAGCAGAACAATCATAAAATCATTTTTACGTTTACATTTATGCTTAGATCAGCACCATCCATATTGCATCTGTTCGCGTGAAAGAATCATTCGAATCAATGTCTTGAATTCAAGTATCTCTTCAATTTTCATTTTTTGCAATACTGAGAAAGATTCAGCAGCACAAAAAAA